TGTTATAAACCAAGCTTTCATTTAAAAGATGATTCTTTGAAGAAGATACTCGTAACAACGTAACTAACAATAAGAAATATTATCCATTTATTCCAGTCTTATTATTATTGACATGTATTTATATAAATTAGTGCTAATCGTAGATAGACTCGAGTGAACATGATTTATCGAAATTTTTGTACAAATTATTAATGATTCAGCGTGCTCGTGTGCGTGAGTCTGTGTGTGTATGGTAATGTAAAGAGGCCTTGTTTTGATTATGCGCTGGAATTTTCTTTTTTCTTGCTTCTAACCCCTCGCATTGAGATAGGCAATTTATTCAGGGGCTAAAGGGGGGCCCTTAAACAAATTGATCTTACTTGATGTAATTTTTTTCTTTTTATCGTCCATTGAAGCCTGCATAAATAGCTACGCGAGTGTGGTACGCGGACGTTCGCCAGACTCCATGTCAGGTAACTGGTATTATCCTCTTTTCTGTCCTTTGTTTATTTTTTTGCACAAGCTTAAAGAAGAATAATATAGATAGTAACATTCAGCAAATTCTTATATGGATCGGATGATCAATTTTTATTGTACGGTAATAATTTAGATTCAATTAATAAATGTATCTTGGATGTATGCAATTGTCTTGCACACGCTTTTACAAGCATGTATGTACTTAGAACGTTATAAAAATGTAACATTTAAAAACACACTTTATATATATGCACACATGCATGCGATCAACTAAACAAACTTTTAATACAACAAAACTGAAAATCTCTGTTCAGTTTTCACACTTAACATACCTAGTAACCGGAATTAATGGAAAATTGTAATTGAACGTCCAAACATTATTATACGTGGTGATTCATTTCAGTTGAACATCTAAGATATTTCTGTTTCTACGAAAGGTATGAATAAATGGCAAATTGGCATTCAAGTAGTTTTGACGGGTGCATCTGATGGTAACAAAGAATCGTTCTACCGTTTTATTGATTTTTTCAAGGTCGTTTTTTTTTATAGTGCGATGTTTGTATCAAGGCGATTTCAATGATGTATATAATATGATGACCTTGAGGTGACCTTGACATCATCATATAACATGATGACCTTGAGGTGACCTTGACATCATCATATGACATGATGACCTTGAGGTGACCTTGGTAATGAAAGAATGTGTTGAAATTTAAAGAGTACCGTTCTGTACTCTTTAAATTACGACTCATTTTTCAAATGTCAAGATCATCATATTACAGATCATTGAACTAATTTTGACGCGGACAACAACATCACGCTATACAAAATAAACGTTAATGTGCAAAAAATTTCGATGACCTTGGTAAACCATTTAAATACCATTTTGTCATTTTTTCATACCTATCGTGGTAACAGAAAGAAGTTAGATGTTCAATTTAATTGAATAACCTTGTATATTGTATGCTTACAAGATATTCCAAAACATCTCATCAACAGCAATGAAATGGATCAACGAGTTAACATTTTTTTGGGGGAGGGGGGGGGGATCCTGAAAGTATACCCCTGAAATAAGAAAATAATATCGTTCTGTAAAGTTTAATATGAGTAGCTTTTCATTAAATTCTTAATGCTAGCGGTAGAAACTGTGCAAATAATTTTGTTTTCTTCTCATAATAACGCTATGCAACAGAGTTTGGTGTTTACCCTTGTTATATAATCGTAATGCAAAGAGCTTTTTAATAGTGAAAAATATTTTTTACATACGTGTGCTAATAAATTATGTATATGACATATGAGAGAAATATTATTAGTTGAACCAGAAGAATGGTACTGTATATCTTCTATCAAATGATACACCGATTCTACGAGCAGATGAAGATACAATGTTAATCGTATAAAGTGGTGATTACAGATTTCCATTTACTGCGAACTGTAATTTAAAAATATCCACTGATTAATGGATTTTCATAATGCTTGTAACTACGAAAAGTAATATTTTAATTTACGAGTTTCCCTGTATATGTACATACATATATGTATAAAATGTGTAACCTTTAACTAACAAAAATTCAATTTATAAACATTAACTTTTTGCATTTTAATCTCGGTTCTTAACCGTGAAAACTCACTTCTTTCAAATAAAACGTGCATAATATTCGATAATTCGATTTCTTTTAATTATTCAGGCTCTAACGCCGATGGACACGCTAATTGTCATTATTAAATAAAGATATATTTATAAGATATTTCATTACTTAAGAATTTAATTATGAACAATTTAAAAATAGCTACAAATACAAA